ATGTATAAAAAAAAATGATTTAGATATGACTGTCACTTATCAGCCCTTATATGGTTCAGCAGATAAATTTATCCTGTTACCTCTACAATCCCTCGGGAAAAGAGACTGTAAGATCCATCCCTTCGGATCTACGATAGTCACATGCCTAGGCACCCCTGGTAGACTATAAAACAATCACGTATAATTACGCTCTAGCTAACTTACATATTTTCACCCTTACTCCTATAACTAGATATGTGTTACTACCCCTGATATATTAAGGCTCACTACAGCTACCATAAGACAGTAGGATATCGTAACTCTTGTCATTATTTATTTGTATTAACTAATTTTTAGTCGAGGAGACCACCACCATCTTTTTTTATGGGTCTAAGGTAAGGTGTAGATTTAGTAAATATGTCTGTAAGGGTGTGGGATGACAACTGGGGACACCTGTGGAGATATCTATTAGCCTATAGAGGGACTACAGAGGTAGGGTCTGGTAGTAGGGTTTTTATATACTGAGTGATGGTGTTATGTTTACTGGTAGTATACTTCTATTTTGATTTCATGTATATATGACTACCTGTGAATCGATCCGTAGGATATCTCTAGACGTGGAGAGTAGGTAGTCTATGCATGGATATGATATGATATGTTGAGTAGAGGATAGAGTATATATGTAGAGATGTGATGACCTATAGTAGGTGTGATCGACGGATGACTAGGTCTCTGTGCACCCGTAGGGGTGTCGATACAGATATAGGGACAGCTATAGAGATCTAGAGATACGGGGGGCTACATCCAGCCATGTAGATCCGTATAGGTAGTCATAGGTGATGTGTAGATCTCAGGTACAGATATCGGTATCTAGACAACTGTAGCCGTCTATACCGTAGCCATAGTATATCCTTAGAGGGAGGATATCTAGATATGGGTGTAACTATCTTTATAGAGAGATGTCCAATGGGGATGTAGATAGTATCCCTAATAAATAGGAAGACATAAGGATATAATGGGAGACTACTCCCTTGTCCGTCGGCACAATGGGCGGGATATATGTTATGCATGTGGTATACATCTCTCGGCATGGGGAGGAGGACCCCGGGGCACCCACACTCTTCTTAACAACAGTGGGGTTCCTAACCTCTTTTACTCATCTACCTCCACACAGTTAACTACATATGTCATCTCTCTACCCCTAAATCACTACCTCTACCCACCTACATCAGCTATATGTAGCTACTATAAGACACATACATCTACACTCATAAGTTATACAGGAGATATCTAGATGCTAGCACACACACTCGTATCTACACTAGAAATACCCCTCTTACCCTATCGATCTCCACAAGTCACTCAAGGTTTAACTAGCTACTCCACTATGGCCTTCCGTATCACTCTAAATATAACCCCCGTAGGGGTAGCCCTTAACAAGAGTGGGGTAGATTTTTTGGGTTTTATGGGAAGCTAAAGTGGGTCAACTAGGTGATATATATTAAAACGAAGTAGGTTTATTTATACCCCCCTTTATCTAGTGAAATCGTACCTTACTTTTTATAAACAGAAGTGCTGGAAGTAGACCCCCCTTCCCCATGAGATGTAAAACGATGACCCATCGGATCCGAAAGGAGGCAGGGATGAGGCATACCCTAAAACCACACCTAGCTCTATATTTTATTACACATAAGATATACGTACTATCACCAGATATTAATCTATCCCCTATAGATATAGCTATGGGACCCTCTTATGCGATCTTACAGTCTTCCCGGTACAAGAGACTATAAGTCTACTAAGCCTAATGATACAGGACACCAAGATACTAGTGGTCGGAGGATAAAAGTTATTAACCTCCAAGAGTCTAAATAAAATTCAAGGCCAAGATTGCAACTTACACAAACGAGTGTGCTCTCCCAACTGTCCCCAGAAGATCTCCTTTATAAATTTTAATATGTGGCATGTATCAACAATCGCGAACATTTAATAAATTAAATAGGGCTTTATTAACTTATTGGAGCTAAGCATGCTATGTGTGTAAATAAAGGTACTGCATTGGTGGGAACTTCGCCGGAGACCCAGAAGGTGATTAGGTCTAAAAGGTTCTAATCTTAGGGTTTAGAAGTAAACCAGGGGTATACGATTAGACACTAGGTTGAGCTATAGACTGACTCTTCCATTTGCCTTACTAGAGATGATATCTTTACCTAATAAGTTATTATTAGCTCCACTCCTCGGGGAACAGCCGATATCCCGTACTCTCTCATTTTTTAAAGTAACACACCTCCTTATATAAGCTATAACTTATAGCCCTTAATTGCATTATAGTAATGTGGATGACAGAGGACAGACTACGTAAATAGGCTGTGGCCTCAAGTCCCCGGGGTACAGCGTAGTGAGCCCACCGCTCAGACAAGTTAAAGAAGTGTATTTCACTAGTGCCCAATAGATATCTACTTGGTAGGGCGAATATGAGTTCCTAACTTAGCAAACATAGGGGTAGAATATCTAGGTGACCCCCCTACACTGGTGGAGTGCAAAGCTATCCGGGGAGTGTAGTAGTGACAGAGGGGAGATGGGTGGTAAGTCATATGGTATAGATGTATACATGCGGCATACCCTAGCAGATGGGGAGTAGAAAGCTGATAACAACCAATCACATAGGTACTATGAGGAATGAGTTAGCTAACGGAGGAGTGCCGACAGGGGGTGAGTTAAAACCCGGGTAGATTAATCAATTAAATATAGGATAATAAAAACGAAGCAGTGGATTACTTGAGGCAGGGTAGCGAAGCTGCCTCTAAGCAAACTTTACTAGGAGGGTCCCCCACTCGAGGGTGAACCCTCCCCCGGTGTTTGTGTTTACCTCCACCCCTCCAGAGGGAGGGCATAGTAGATCCGAAGGGATGGATCTTATCTTACATCCCTGCTTTCGGATCCCCACTCAAGAGTGGGGGACTGGAGGCCTGAAAATGGCTAGATTGACATGGATACTTCGTAGTTTATTTAGCAGAGAGTAGTAGTGGGAGAACATTCTACTATAGGGCGCTGGGTGTCTGCTATCGAGGTCAAGAGTACTTGATCTCTCTGCGTTACTTAGTAAGAGTTCCAGTCATCGTTCGTAGGCTGACTCTTCCATGGTAGTACAGAGGACAGGAATATTACTCTTATTTTTATTAGAGAGGTAGGTACATAATAAAACATAGGGGACATGGTTAGTAATACTTTATGGTCTCTAAAAGGGGGTTAGGAATCGGAGAGTGATATTTCTAATAAATTAATTCATTAAATTACTTTGGGATAAATTTTTTTGTACTGGTACACCTTAATCTATAAGTTTTGAAGTTATTCTTTATGAATTTAGTTTTTCCCAACTTGTTTTGGAGAGGAACTACCCATAAATTAGCTTAAGTGGATCCTAGTTTTCAAACTATTGTATATAATTGGTCACCCTTTAGTGATTAGGCACCAAATAGAATCAATATGCATGCAGGAAGAGAGTGTCAGCTCACCACATGAGTTTATAGGTTAAATCCCCTCTGGGATGGTGGCGTGCAAAGATGGCTAGCTAGCTTGCTCCCGTCTTCAGGAAGGATGCATAGGCTTTCCACCACCCGGGGGTGTACCTGTACACCAGGAGGATCATAAGGGGAGACCCTTCTACATCCCCTAACCTCCCTGAGTGTGTATGTGTATCACTCATGGAGTAGCAGTAGTGGAGGTCCTACACTCGAGAGGCATCAGAGAGAGCCCTCTAGTGGTGGGGGGTGGGACCCCTCGAGTAGAGGGGTGTAGACTACTCTTATCTTTGGACCGTAGGGGTATGGATAATAGATAGCCTATATAAGATGTGTATAAACAGGTAAATGGGAAGAAGACTGGAATAGGCCAAGGGTTCTGAGGTGACATCCAGAGTAAGATGACATGGAAGCAGGTGAAGACTAGATTATTATAGAGAGAGTCATAGCCCAAAAACTCCAGAGGTACATTTTTAGCCATCTACTAACCCTAAGGGGGGAGGGGGGGGCTTAGACTTTGCACCACTCTCGAGTGGGTCAGGCTGACCCTGGTATAGTGTAAATAATAACCCAGGGGTCAGCTACGGAATTAGACATAAGATACGCCCACTAGTTTAGCCCGGAAGTCAGCTACTCTATCTCTCTGTATAAATATAGGGAAGCTGTCTCTACTCACCTCTTAGTCATAGAGTATAAAACCCTTCCCTTAGTGACAAGGAGTCAGTACACTCACCCAGACGGACATTAACTCAGACTTTAGTCTCCTACCAACTCTCGTAGACCGCGTAGGGCTATTATCTATATAATCGTAGCTGTTGCTTATATAAAGAGTGGATTTCCCACCATCCTGTATTTACAGCGATGAAAAATAGAAAGTTATCTTTAGCCATCCCTCCCGGTGATACCATAAATATATTTTATACTAGAGGATATCTAACCTTTATGGTACGACACTTTTATACCCTCGTAAGACTGTTGTTTATATAAATAGGGTGGTGAGCGATTGCAGAATATATGTAAGAACCATCCCTCCCACGGGGTATTGTGGCCATCTTCTACCTATCAGAAGTATAGATAGACTATGCCCCAAAGGATAATTTATCTCCCTCTAGATTTAGGTGGAGTACCACCCTCCTAGTCTAGTAAACCTTGCTTAGCCTAAAGGGACCCCTCCACCATATAACATCTCTCTAACGAGGGGCCCCCTCCGGGGGTGCATGCTTGCCTGTATGTAATCTCTCCTGATGAGAGGACTACCTACCTTTATAAATTATTAGAGGTGACAGAGTGAAAATTATTTTATTTTAGGTTGAAGTCCCCCTACTAAGGGAGTGAAAGAGTGTTAATAAGAAAGGATTTGATTAACTGCTGATGGTTCTCTAGTCTAGGAGGCCTTTTAATTTTCCATCATATGACCCCCGAAAACTATGGGCTACACAATATATAAGAGTTAAATAATCTCTTGAGAACTTCTCCCCCTAGCCCATACATATCCCCTAGGTAGTTAAGGAATATCTGTCTTCGATAACTAAGAGCTCTGATTAGCTATTACATGGCTCCTCGTATTTACCAATTAAACTAGAACCGTAGACCCCCCTATGTGGCATGGATAATAATTTTTATTTTGGGGAATTTATCTCACAGGGGAGTGGTCTAAGATATCTCTATGCATATTTTTATAGTTGGGGGTACCCCCGAGATTAGGGGCACGATGTCTACCCCTTAACAAGAGTGTGGGTGCCCCTAGGGGGGGTAGATATCTACACATATGAAGGGGATAGATAGCCTAGAATATTTTTTAAATACACATACGTATGTGCAACACATGAAAAGATATAATAGGGAGGAATATACCTAGAGTATGAGTGTATATAACCCATGAAACATATAAATTTCATATACATGTGTAAGGGGAGTACACATAAGGTAATAAATTACCCCGTAGAGGGATCTAGGGTAATAAAACTGTACCTTTTTGAGGTATATAAAGTAAAGGGGCATCTACTAGTAATCAATAGAAGGATAAATCCCTCGGGATGTCCATCCCCCTACGGATGCCTGCCTCTCCGATACTAGCCCAATAAAATAATCTGTAGATCAGAGAGGGGTGTAGATGTATGATAGACAGGGCACAGGGGTATAGCTAGTGTAGCGGCACTTATGGTATAAACAATACTGGATACTTTGCTGAGCCCTACTCGACTTTATTAGACTATTAGTGCACCGTAGTGTAGCATACAAAAATGTAGGTGATCCGGGAGGATCAAGAGAGATAGGTGGTAGCACTCGAGGGAGCCCCACGGGCTAGAAAATTAAAAGTCTTTTGTGCCGTTTTACTTTGTCTCCTTTATCTCTTACTGTGTCTCTCCATACTTCCTCTGCACAGGAGGAGATAGGGCGTGTAACTCAATTGGTAGAGTAGTACTTTTGCAAAGTAAAGGTTAGAGGTTCAATTCCACTCTCGTCCAACTCTCAGCCAAAACTGACCTATATCGTAGAGAGCGAGCGGGCAGCTCTCCCGAGGGAACCCTCTTACAGGCAGTCTTCCCGAGGGGATGGGAGATCTCGTAGAGATCTTCCATGTACGAGGGCTTCTGCCCTCTACCATTCCCCCGTAGGGGTATGGGGGGTAGTCTCCCACAAGGGCCCTCCATTGCCCCAGAGAGCGGGGGTAGGCCAACCCCGAAGGGAAGGCTGTAAGATAAGAGCCTTCCCTTAGCGGAGCCCTCTTGACATATATTAGAGGTCATCCCTCGGAAAGAACACCGGGTCCAATTTTAGGTGTAATAAGGATAAGACTGACTTCAATGGACCATGTAAAGGGGAAAATAACTGTCGCCGTAGAATAAAAGATATCTTGCTGATGACACCGGTGCGTGTATGATAGTATTAGATTAAGATAGAATCTATGATATCCTCATTTATTTGCATAAGTCCTCTCTATATAAAATTAGACAGGTGCCCCTAGGAGAAGTTATCCTTAAGAGATGTAGATATATAATCTCTTTGTTATATGAGACTGTATACTAAAAAGAGTCCCTTACAGAGGGTAAAAGAGAGAGCCTATCTCTCCATCGGTTAACTAAATTCTATCTCCCCTATCTATTGACTAGTTTAGTGAGAGGCTACTGAATCTCTATTTTATTCTTCACAACTAGGTATATGGTAGATCCATCAGGAAGGATGGGTATTCTCTTACATCCTTTCGGATCCCCGAAGGGGACAGTACGAGGGTGTCCCTGTCCCTGTCCCCACCACCCTCGTACCATCCGAAAGCAGGGATGTATCTCATCTTATCTCATCTTACCTTACCTTAGAACCATCCTTCCTGAAGGCGGGTTCCCTGCCTCTACCATCCCTCGGGATGTCCATCCCCATCCCTACGGATGCCTGCCTCTCCGATAGAGGGAGAGAGTAAACAGGTAGCCACCTATAGGTAGAGGGAGGGGATGGTATATTACAACCTGACTTTATTAAAATGAGTAACTATTTTTTTCTAAATTAGTATCTATTACTTTTCTAGATACACCTAGATTACACTAGAGATATATTTATCATTCTACCCGTAGTCACTAGGAAGAGTACACAGAGTGTAGTTCAATCCGGTATAATATTCCCTTTGGGATAGAAGGGTAGTACCTTAGATTCCTCCCTAAGTCATCCTCTGTGATAGGAAGGTTAGAGGGGGTGGTACCCTATGAGATTAGTAGGGTGAAGAGAGAGTATAGTCATCTATATAAAGGTATAGATATGACTCTATGCTAGGTGTATACATTATGTAGAGTGGCGTATTTTATGTACACACTAGTCGTCCTAGGGGAGATAGGCTGAGAAGAGTATAAGTAGGGACCATAGAGAGAATAAAGTGGTGTACTAGGTTATAAGTTAGGGTATGTTAATAGAGTGATTGAGGATAGAGTATCCCTCGGGATGGACGATCCATCCCTACGGATCTCCGATAAGGGGTAAGTTTGATGTAGGGGTGCTATAGGTATCCCCAGAGGTAAGTTTATGTAATAGGTCTATGGGTACCGAAGGTGTAGGAGGGTCCCGAGACCCTCCACCATGCCTCGGGATGGATGATCCATCCCTACGGATCTCCGATAGGGGTACCATCTTCAGAGAGGGTGGGGTAGATGTCTGGATACCCCAGACATCGTGCCCCTTCAGGGGTAGCTAGTCTAGGGTGGTGGGGTCTACACAGTCGTAGGTTAGGTAGCTCATAGGGGCCTCTCATACACTCTTAGGTGTGAGGAAAATATATAGTTATCTATGAAGTTAGCTAGGAGGTCTAGATAGACAGATGGTTTTAAGATACGGAAGCACATATAAGAGCAAATTTTTAAGAGTAGAGTGCAAAGCTTGCTCCCGGAGGGATGTAGTATCCCCACTGTGTCCCACCCCCACTCAAGAGTGGAGTAAAAGAGAACCTCTTAAAAAAAGAAGAGATTAGAAGAACATAGATAGCTTGTAGGTTCAAGTCCTTTGATCCCATCCCCTTCATGGATAGCCCATCTTTTACATTCCATGGTGGAAGGACCAAAAAACCGAGGGGACAGTACGAGGGTGTCCCTGTCCCCACCACCCTCGTACCATCGAAGATGTAGGAGGGTGTCCCTGTCCCCCCTCCACCATCCGAAAGCAGGGATGTAGCATAAGAGCCATCCTTCCTGATGGCTCTACCATAAGGACAGTAAGGGAACCATTAGAACTTCAATTTACTAGTATATCCAGAGGGCGTGGGTTCAAGTCCCGCCCTATTTTAATTGATCAGTTATTCTGCTTTTACTGTAAAATTCTAAGACAGAGGTCAGCTGAGGATATACACACACGGGTATAACACAATTGGTTAGTGTGTAAGTCTTCCAAACTTGAAATACTGGTTCGAGTCCAGTTATCCGTAAATGGCAAATAAGAATAATAATAAAACCTTGGTTATTTGAATCACCAGTAAAAAAAAATTCTCAATTCACAGGCACAAAAGTATCTCAGAAGAGGTAATATTTTTAAGGGGGGGAGATGATCCCCGCGGAGCGGGTATCGAAGATGTAGGAGGGTCACAACCCCGAAGGGACGGGATACCTCGGAGGGACCGAAGGTGTAGGAGGGTCCCATGGGACCCTGAAGGGACAGGACAGAACACCTCCCCGGAACCCGGGGAGGGACTCTACCCCTCCAGAGGGAGGGCATAGTAGATCCGAAGGGATGGATCTTATCTTACATCCCTGCTTTCGGATCCCCACTCAAGAGTGGGGGACCCCAAGGGGAGGGGATAGGACGGGACACCCCCCCCCGTAGCTTAGGTTAGGTTATCACGGGGGGGGAGGGTCTCCCTCCTACACTTCCGAGTAGCATCGTGGAGGGCAGGTGCAAAGCTGCCCTCCTACACGCTCTCCTTCGGAGTAGCATAGCACCCCCCGATCGGGGATGTACGCTACGATCCTCGTAGCTCGTAACTACCACCCCCGCTAAAATAAAATACGCGGGTCTGTGCTCCGAAAAAATTAGGGTGGTTCGATTCCCTCTTGACTTAGCGATGTTGTCTATCTACATCCTCCAGATTGAAGAATTTTGGAAAGGTTGGACTGTTCGTCCATTAAAGTAGAACTTGAGATTAGTTAATACCGTCGTGAGACAGGTAGGTTTCTATCTTCTATTTCCACCTAGAAATTTGAATTGAAGATTCCCATTGTACGAAAGGATCCGGGAATCCAAACCAATGGTTTACCAGTTGTCTCCTTAAAGGCATCGCTGGGTAGCTACGTTCGAAGAAATAAGTTCTGAAAGCCTATCAAGAACGAAATTCCCAATAAGAATAATTTCTTAAAAAAAGATATGATAGACTATCATAATAATAGGTTCTATATATAACCCTAGTAATAAGGATAGAGTATAAGAATACTAGTTTCTTCTTTATCTTACTGCCACCACCAACTCCCCATTCAACTGCAGTGGGTGTAACTCCTCCAATCATAAAAATCTCTT